GGCCATTCAGTGCTGAAATCTATGGTTCAAGACATTTATCCACTATGCCATATAAATTCTTTAAGGGCTAAACTAATATAATCTTTGTGAGGAAATGGCCAATATGAAAGCTGGGAACAAGATATAACAAGATATAACCCGGCCTAAGCCTTTTCACCTCTATTCACTTCTAGAGAGACAAAAGTTCCAGAAATTTTGAAGCAATGGGGGCGGGGGGATTCCCATTTTGTTCAGAGAAAAGCAGAAATTCTGTGAAAACTATATACAATACTTACTTTCCTATAAAGCCTGAACGTATCATACTGCTTTTAAAACAAAAATGCATCATTTGTAACTTAGACTGCTTCCACACAGATGTGTAAAAATGCATCCCTGCTCCAGATGCAGCACAGTAGCATTGAAGCAAATAGGGACAGAGTCTATACCTGCATACTTCCCTCCCCAATTCCCCCTTTCCAGCTAAGCAGAGGTGCAAAGCTGCAATGCAGGGCAGCTCTGAACAACAACAACAAAAATTGGTAAAAATGGCTAAGGGCTACCATTTTGAACCATAGCTCCAACCCATCCCCAGACAGGCTGTGAGCAGAGTTGTCAGGAGAACCTCCAGGGTCCACCAGGAAATCTTGGGGGCAGAGACAATCACATTGGTGTGCAGCGTGACATGACAATTATGTAATTATTGGAAATTATGTAATGTGTTGCACAGATGCTAGCAAACCCTCGCCAATACTTTCTCCATTGGTATGAGAAGTGGCAGATTTCCACTGACCTGCTAGTGTGCAGCGTGACATGACAATGTCACTTCTGGTTTTGTGTTGGAAATGATGTAATGTGTTGCACAGATGCCAGCAAACCCTCGCCAATACTTTCTCCACTGGTCTGAGAAGTGGCAGATTTCCACTGACCTGCTACCCCCCAGCTGTGGGATGCTCTGCTCACAGCCTTCCTTGCAGTTCATCCTTTCAGCAGATCAATGGAAGTTTTCTTTTGAGCACACTCAGAGGAAAGCCCTGGGAGAACCACAGTGGAAGGAGCATGACATTGTGTGGATGCTCCCTTTAAAACTTTGAGCATGCTGCTGAATCCTTCTGTGGAAGCAGCCTTAGTTAACATATAGACGTATATAACATATAGAAGCCTGGCGTGATCTGGTCCATGGGGTCGCAAAGAGTCGGACTCGACTGTGCGACTGAACAACAACAACAAAGAAGTATGCCATTTGACACATTTATGATGTGTAACGTTATAAATGCTTTGGTTTTCTACAGACAAAATTGCAAATATACCCAAGTACCTGAGAGGGAACTGCAAACTGCTGCACCCTATGCTATCTTTGCATATGTATCTTAATATTTGTCATCTGAGAGGTAGTATGAAATAAAACAAATTTTGTAGTCAAAAGTATTTTGTTTGGGCAGAAATAGTGGCATACAGTCACATTAGGACTACCCGAAAATATAGATATCAAATTAAACTTGGTAATGCTGAAAGCACTGAACTCTCTAATAGTGTCATCAAACATATTGTTGCATATTAAACGTTGCAAGAATTATTCACATTTAGACAATGAATATATCCTTGAAAATATGCTGCATATGTCTATGATACATTAAAATATCGTCATACTGAGTGTCTTACATAAATATTCATGATATATATTCTGAATGAATAAAAGCATTTCACTAATTCCAAAAGAGAAAATAGGAAGGTTTTTTCACTGTTCTCCCAAATTTCCCAGTTTCTCCATAAGAAAAACTGAAGAAGACATTAAAAATATATATTTTGTAGACTTTAACATACCTATTTACTGTGTCAACAGATCTGTGTCAGCAGATCTGTGGACAGCTACTCTTCAGATTTCTTCAATTTAGAAACAGGCCCAGTTTACTAACACACCTTTGCCCCCTCAGACGGAAGAAAGAGTCAGACAACCAAGGTTGGATAAAATAAGGCCACTTTATTAACATATTAAAGTAACAGCAAGGGCAAACATAAAACAGCGGCTCGGTCAAGGCCTGGTGTCGCTTTGACCCCATCCTTAACCGTATAAAAGGCAAGACACCAAGGCCCCGGGTTGGAGCCAACTGTAAGTTACTTGCAAACCCAGCTGAACCAATTATTGGGATGCACCTTCAGGAGCCCTCAAACACCACCGCACGGCCAGCGCTGAGTCTCCGTCGTGGCCATCCCCATAGGCAGTCTGCAAGCCTCATCCCTGGCCGCACGGCCGCAGGGTTGATCCCGCAGACCCTTCTACCGCCCCAGGGGCTGTTGATTGGTGCTTACGTAGCTGCTGAACTTTATTTAAACCTAATTCTGCCCTAATAAAGTGATGAACTAACCCAAGGCACCATTCCCAAACCAATTCCTCAATCCACTGGCAGCAGTGCAGGGTAGGCGAAAAAGACCCCTTCTCAATAGCCAATCAGAGAAGGGGACAAAAAAATCCTACCTGGCCCCCCATTAAACGGGGCAACCAACCTGTGCTTACACTACATACAGGACGGGTGGGTGGGCCAAGCACGAGGCGAGCAACTGACAGGCGAAGGCAGCCCCCAGGAGGCATGCCGTTGGCTGCCTCCTGTGGGGCCAGATTCAGCAGACTGTAATCGAGTCATGGATATTTAAGGACATACTAGACATTACAGAATTCTATGAGACTTCCCTCCATTTTCTAAATTAATCTTTTGAAGTATGAGGCTTACTGATTCATCAACAATGGTTTGCATGTTGTGTGGTGTAGTGGTCAGAACATGGGACTAGGGCGTGCAGAGATACAAGTTTGAATCCGCACTTGTGCCATGGAAGCTCACTGTGTGACCTTGGGCCAGTCATATACTCTCAGCCTAAACCACCTCATAGGGTTGTGAGAATAAAATGGAGGAGAGGAGAACAATGCAAACCCTTTAGGTCCCCCTAAGGGAGAAAGTCAGGGTATAAATGAAGTAAATAAATACATAAATAAGTAAGATGGTCCACAAAATGAAATTGAATGTCAATTAATATCTCATAAAACGCTAAGGTACCAGAGAGAGTATTAGTACCCAGGGTAACTTCTGTAAACATTTTATTAAATTGTTCTGCAAAATTTTGTCATTTTAAGCATCTCAGTATCTTATATTTGTGTAAGCTGTGTACATTATTTCTTTGGGGACTATACTGCAGACAAGCTTCTGTCGTACAGTAATTCTGGGGAAACAGTTATAAATAAGTATGTTAGAAATAACAGTCCAATACCTTGGTACATTTAAATATGCCATCTGGAACAGTGTTTATATTTAGAAGTCTCTCTGTTTGCTCCTTATAATAGTTTTGCTACTGTGTATATCAGAAGACACACAGGCTTGAATGCTAAAGGAGTACAAAACATGCCATTTCCTAAAGGAAGCGGAATAGTAACACATCTCTATTGAAAATGAGGTCATAAATATTCATGCTATATAGAATGCCTACTGGTAATTTCCTAACCATTTGTATGTTTTTATTTATCTATTTATATGATTCATAGACTGCCTTCATGTATTTGTATTCAAAACCAACAAACAAAAGCCATAAATAAAACTAGTGGATGGAACCTTAAAGCCCAATATTGGTGGGAGGGAAGCTTTAAATGTATCTTTTAAGAGAGACAAGTGTGTTACCCAATGAAGCCCCCAGGCAGAAATACATTCAGAGAGACCAAGCCACTTGCGACCAGGGGTCAGCGGTTAAAGCAGGAGCTTGGTCCCCAAACACAAAGGGGACCTAGGATCCTAGCCCACCGGGAGTCCACCAATAGCACCCTTGGCGGGAGATTCAAACTCTCCAATGGGAACATAGGTGTGCCGGGTGGAGTGTGTATAGTTGGCCTTGCAGGGCCGTTTTGTGCGTCTTGTTGTGAAGTACAATAAATGTGTCTGAACGCACGTCATGGTCCGCGTTCTCCATGCATCGAACCCAGTACTTTTCACCATATAAACTGAGAATGCAGCCTGGAGCACAAGCACACACAGCCCACCCCAAAACACACAAACACATTCGTATGTTGCTGTGCATTGCAAGGAAAAATTGATAGGGATGGGCAAGCTATCTTTCAGGGAAGACTATCAGCCATTATTGATGTTCTAATGGAGGAAACTAAAGAATTCCAGGAATTCTCAGAACACATCTATCTATTTATTCACAGTTTTATAAATTGAGCAGATGCTATGTAGGTATAGATTCACAGCAACACCAGGTCCTACCCAGAAACCCGTTTAGTGGTGCTGCAAGACTCCCTTTTTTCCTATTCATACTGTTCCAGGTAATTCTTTCATCAACTATCTGCACAAAATGTTTGATGTTGTACTTTAATAAAACATGCTCATGCAGAGAAAAGGTGGCTGCAGAGGAGAACCAATGCAAGGGTGATCTGTAGCCAGCCATGAGAACAAAGCTTCCTGGTAACTCTGACAAATTAACAAAGGGAAACCTTTAAAGGGGTCAGTTGGTACCATCAGACCTGCTCCACCCTACCAATTAATAAGAACAACCAAGTACAGTACAACTGGACAAGTGGTATTTTATGTCCCTTCTGTTGCTGGGAACTCCTGCCACCAAGAAACACAGCCTAGAGCCTTGTCCTGCAGTACCACACTGTGGTCTGAACTACAGTGAAGTTCTCCGAGCTTTCTTCTGCCCACCTTTCATGCTAATTTGGGTTGAGTCATGCTTTTTAGGCCTAATAATTAGTGCTCGTACACCCCTCTCTCAGGAGGCTGAGAATAACCACTCATAGACAGCCCTGCTTACAGCTGTACACAGTAGGTTGAATCAACCAATGACAACTGGGGAAACATTCCAAGGGCCAGAGCAACAGCTACTTGACAACACCATCTCAGATTCTTGTGCATTTCTATTGTTTCTTTCCTGTGAGCTTCCAGTCTTTTCCCCATGCAGACACATAATGGACCCTTAGGTTTCTGTTATTTAGAACTTAGTACCATACCACCTAATACAATGATAAAAGAAAATTACCATACCTGTTAAAATCACATCTACTAGTACATCTTCAAAAGTAGGATTTCTGAAGGTTATGATGATTGAAGAATGATAACCCAGGCAAGCGCTTACACTAGCTGGCTCCTGGGGCTCAGGAATCAAACCAACACCGGACAAGAAAAATATCCACTCTTCAAGCTGTAGAATAAAAGAGTTCAAATTTTAATTTGCAGCCACTCCCCCCCCCGAAGATTTGTAGACCCATACTAAACAGAGTTGGATCCTAAATCCATTGAAGCTGTGAGGGTGTGATTGTGTTTAGGACTACAGTGTCACAGATGAAATTAAAGAACGGTGGCCCCAATCAAGTAGCTTTGGTTCACATTACTGGGTCTCCAATTCACATTCAGATACAAGAATGGACTTCCACTGAAAAACACTCTGCATGCACAATCCTACCAAAGTCTTTGAAATGCTTTGGATTATGACAACTTTGTGCAGTGGTCCATTCAAAGACCACTTAGGACAATTATGATGAAAATAACATTAATGGCTGGGTCATTAAGTTGGATTATACCTTTCCCATGATGGAGTAGTAAACTGGCCCGCTTCTACCACAGGTGTGGCACATTGGAACCATTGTTCCATGCCATGCAGAGGCCTGATTTGTACAATTCTTAAACCTGGGGGGGGGGACCTGTATGAATCAGGTGTCTACATGTCACACCTATGTCATATGTTACATTTCTCCAGAACTCTAGATCTAACGATCTTCTGCTTTTAATTTCATTTTTATACCATACATGTAATAAGGGAGAGTCTAAATTTTAGCAACAATATGTAAGTTATACATTTGTTCGAAGGAAGAACTTCAGTTAGTTAACAAAAAACAAAAACACCTTTACACATGCCAGCAGTGATAAGAGACATTCAAGAAATAAAAACAAATAGGATGCAAAACAGGAAGCTTAGCTCTGACACAGCTTTCATTCACTTCATTAAAGTTTATGTGGGAACAGCAATAGGTAGGTAACAACCTAATTCTGATACATTTTGAATGACTCTCACCCACTTGGTAAGAAGCCAGTGAATCAAGCATTAGAAGAATACAACCCAGTTAGCTCATTGACTAGACCTGCTTAAATTTACTACATTTCAGCATTATTCTGAGCAATATTTTAAACAGGAGAGGTTAAAAGAATCTATGCAAATAATACTGGACAGGCTCTAATAATAGATCCTGCTTGCCTGTAACACTGTTCAGTATTATTAGTCTCAGTCAATTATGTATGTATGTTGTAGGTTTACTAGGAGAACTGGGTGAAATAAGGTATATTAACATCTTCAGTAACCATTACATTCAACTTGGCATTTTAGCTGTGCTGTCCCAACAAAGTTAATTTCAGTGATCAAAAACAAGAGTAAAGTGATTATGGACTGAGCTTAAATTCTTACTGCAGACAGCTCTTTGCACAGCTCTAAACTAGAAACAAATGAAGCAGATAATAACCCATAGTGGTTTCTCTCAATTCAGTGATGAGGCACAATCAGAAACAGTTAAGGCTTGTCTTATAAGTGCTGTCATTAGTTGATTTTAGATTAGTCAGCTACTCAGCTATAAAATGGCTTAAAGTGTCAGTTCAGAAGCATTTAATCAGTGAAATCAAAGAAAGAAAATCAACGCCATTTTTTAAGGTTAAAAGTAGACCAGATTTCACATATTGGTTTTTTTTTAAAGCCTTCTGAAGGCCTTTGTCCCTGCACCTCCACAATCCAAAACTGGGCCTTGGATTGTTAGAAATAAGATAATACTAGGTAAAAATAAATTCATCCAACTCTACAGAATTAGGATTATCTCTAATCTTTAATCCAATTCTGACATCAAATTTTGCTTCAACAAGTTAAAACCTCAATTTTTTAATCTCATTGTGAAAGAAACAGCTATGGGTCATTATTTGCTTCATCTGTTTCTATTTTGCAGCTGCATAAGGAGGACTCTGCAATAGATTCCCCAATCTGTTAGAGGCTGCACAGTTTCATGGGTATGCATTTTTACAATCCTGAAAATAAGGGATCCTAGGAAAAATGTCCCTATACAATCCAATTTGAGAAAAACAACAAAAGACACTCATTCAAAACTAGTCCTGCATTTGATGCGAAATTAAAAACTAAAAACCACGCAAAGTACTAATTTTAAGTAGAAAAGGTTTTTATACCCCACCTCTCTCTACCTTAAAGAGTAGGGTTGCCAAACCCCCCCCAGTTTGCCAGGGGTCCCCCATTTGGGGGGGTTCTACCTGCCCCCAACACCCACAGCCACCCCTCTCCCTTCTCTCTTGAGAGAGAGGGGTGGCTGCCTTTAAGTTCATGGAACCCGCGTTTCCTCCCAAGCCCGATCTCTTCTCTGCTGGAGATCAGGCTTGTAGGTAAATGCCAGCTCCGTGCACTTAAAAGGGAAAAGCCGGCTCTTTGCTCTTAAAGGGGAAACACCGGCTCTGTGTACTTAAAAGGGAAATGCCAGCTCCTTTAAGTGCAGGAAACTGGCGTTTCTGGAGATCAGGCACGCGGGGGGGGGGCGGACATCCCCAATGTGATGTCATCACGTAGGTGATGCCCTGCCCCCTCCAGGAACGCTCCCAAAGTCCCCTGCTGGGGGCGAAAGATGGACTTGGCAACCCTAATAAAAAGAGTCTTAAAGCAGCTTACAATTGCATTCTATTCCTCTCCCCACAACGGGCAGCTTGTGAGGTAGTGAAGCACGGGAAAAGGGTCAGGTTACCAGTATCTGAGATCACACCAGTTTACCAAGAGGACAACTTTATTTGATATCAGTTTTGACCTGTACTGCAAGGTGCTCTGAAATGGCCGAACCCTGAGCTACGCAGTAACAAAGCATTTATACCAGTTACAGGTTACACGTCACACAAGCAGAGTGTACAAGGGAGGGGGAAGCAGAGCATAAACTGTGGGAACTTTTTCTTTACACGTACTTTTTTCCTGTTATGAGATATTTTCTCCTTTTCTGTGCCCCCTTTCATCTCTTTTGCATTATAAGCTAGTTAACGGATATACATCTGTGTCTTTGAAGCCTGACCACAACTGCAGTTGCTATAGCTTCCGGGGGCCGATTTCGACAGCAATGGCTGACAGCAGTGCTACACTAAATAGGTCATGCTCAGGTAGGAGAAGGAAAAAATGTGGGGGTTGAGGGCTGAAGTCTTGTCTGGGAGAGGGCTACCTGTATTTTTAATATATATTTTTTTAATATTGCTTCAGTAGGAGACACTAATTTTAAAGGTGTTCCTAATTGTTTTCTTTCTATGGTAGAGAACAAAGCAACAAAAAAGAGAGGGGATCCTCTTCAAAAGCATTCCTTTGTATGTCAAAAGCTAAACATATTAAATAGATATATACTATATGCACAGAGTTTTCAGCACAAATATGAATTTCATCACACAGAGGAGAAGTTTGGAAGGGCTCCCTTTTTATATCTTTTTCTTTCTCTTCTGCAACATTCTGAATGGCTTTTCCTTGGCTTTCCATATTTGAGATTGCAGATGTTCAGATTTATGTGATTTTAACAAAAAAAATCCCCACGTCTGTTGTAAAAATATAAACATCAAAAGTATAAACACCTCTCAAGGTACTCAAGATGGTTCGATCTTGGGTTGCCTTCTTACCTGATTGGCTGAGTTCTACGCAGGATCTTAGCATTCTACCCAGTGCCTGTTTGTTCTATTAGCTGCCCTGAATCCCCAGTGTTTCAATTTTTAAAAAAGCTCCTAGGCCGTTAACACAGATAAGTAAAATATTAGATTCATTTAGGAATTATTGTTATAAATAATATTGTAGTGAGACTGGACTTTATTTTGTAACAGTTGGATACCAAGCATAGCCACAACATGTGGACCCCTATTCTAGACCTTTGTGGTCCTGTGCTGCCACAATCATTCAGGGTAGCATTGTTAAGAAAAACTTTCTTAATTCCTGTTTACCTGATTTCTCCATGAAATCCAACAATCTGTTATTTCCCCACTTTTTAGGTATGTGGAATCAATTTATAATCAATTCCATTCTGATACAGGAGAAATTCAAAGAAGAGGGCAGGAACGGAGGGTTTGCAAAATTTCAGATACGCATTCTGTAGATGCTCAGAGGAAAGCAATGCCTTCTCAGAACAGAACAGAAAACCTTTATTGGCATAACATAGATAAACCAGAACAAAGGAAAAATTTAAGGGGTAGTACTAAGACAACATCAACCAATATTCCCAATATCTCAAAATACAAAGCAATCCTAACATGGTTTATAAGATTTACAAAGTACTACTCTTGACTTCCATTCATAAGTCAAAAATTCAGTGACAGGTAGTGTTATTGCTGGACTCTTGTCTGCTAGAAAGAAATGTAAATCCCTATCCAGAAAATCTCTCTGCAAAGGGAGAAGCGGGCGAATCAAAACATTGCGCATAGCAAAATATTTGGGACAACGAAAGAGAATATGGGTGATAGAATCAGGTTCCCCAAGATTACAGTTACAAAGTCTATCCTTGTACGGAACACTCCTGTATCTACCGGAGACCACTACTGAGGGGAAAAGGTTGAACCTTGCAAGCATAAAAACCCTCCTAAAAACTGGGATTGTCAGATTAGCGATATACGGTACCATGGAGGTATGCAAGGGGAGGTGGGGTAATGAATAGGGAGAACAAACTCCAAGACTACCGGCATTAATGATCTGCGCCTCTATATCCCAAATTCTCCTCCTAACCACCTGCAAGACTGCTACCTCACCACAGTTATAGAGGGGTTCCAGATCAATACCTAGGATACCCACCTTTTTCACTATGGCCTGTGACCACTCTGATGTATAGGGGGTCAGCTAAAAGTTGGGCCATTAGGCTAGCAGGAGGAGATCGAAAGTGGAGCCGAAGCCAATATTTGATCGTAATGATCCAAGCCCGAGATTCTATCAAGTGAAGACCCAGCTCCTTATAAAGGGCAAAGAGCGACACTGAGTTGGAAACACAAAGAATCCTGCGCAGAAAAGTGGAGTAGATGCTCTCAACTCTCCTAGTAAAAGACTGAATCCAGATAGGAATCCCATATAGCAGACGAGATATAACAGCCGCTTGGAACATCTTACGCGCAGCCGGTACAAATTGGTTGCCCTTGTGGGAAAAAACCCGAATCAGAGCT